CAGGAGACAGAGCTGTCGTGAGGGCGTCTACCCCACTCACTCGACCCGACACTGGCGCCCCGTCCACCACTTCGGTAGGTACTTTGGCACCGGTCTGCCTTTGTCTTACTTTTACCTACTACGGTATGTAAGGTCAGGTCCTTCGCGACCTACAGACGGCCCCTTGTGACCCGCAGACGGTCCCTTGGGACCTACAGACGGTCCCTTGGGACCTTCAGACGGTCCCTTACGACCTACAGACGGCCCCTTACGACCTACAGACGGCCCCTTGCGACCTTCAGACGGTTCCTTGGGACTTACAGACGGCCCCTTGTGACCTACAGACGGCCACTTGCGACCTACAGACGGTCCCTTACGACCTACAGACGGCCCCTTACGACCTACAGACGGCCCCTTACGACCTACAGACGGCCCCTTGCGACCTTCAGACGGTTCCTTGGGGCTTACAGACGGCCCCTTGTGACCTACAGACGGCCACTTGCGACCTACAGACGGTCCCTTACGACCTACAGACGGCCCCTTACGACCTACAGACGGCCCCTTACGACCTACAGACGGCCCCTTACGACTTACAGACGGCCCCTTACGACCTACAGACGGTCCCTTACGACCTACAGACGGCCCCTTACGACCTACAGACGGCCCCTTACGACCTACAGACGGTCCCTTACGACCTACAGACGGCCCCTTACGACCTACAGACGGCCCCTTACGACCTACAGACGGTCCCTTACGACCTACAGACGGCCCCTTACGACCTACAGACGGTCCCTTACGCCTACAGACGGCCCCTTACGACCTACAGACGGCCCCTTACGACCTACAGACGGCCCCTTACGACCTACAGACGGCCCCTTACGACCTACAGACGGCCCCTTACGACCTACAGACGGCCCCTTACGACCTACAGACGGCCCCTTACGACCTACAGACGGCCCCTTACGACCTACAGACGGCCCCTTACGACCTACAGACGGTCCCTTACGCCTACAGACGGCCCCTTACGACCTACAGACGGCCCCTTACGACCTACAGACGGCCCCTTACGACCTACAGACGGTCCCTTACGACCTACAGACGGCCCCTTACGACCTACAGACGGCCCCTTACGACCTACAGACGGTCCCTTACGACCTACAGACGGTCCCTTACGACCTACAGACGGCCCCTTACGACCTACAGACGGTCCCTTACGCCTACAGACGGCCCCTTACGACCTACAGACGGCCCCTTACGACCTACAGACGGCCCCTTACGACCTACAGACGGCCCCTTACGACCTACAGACGGCCCCTTACGACCTACAGACGGCCCCTTACGACCTACAGACGGCCCCTTACGACCTACAGACGGTCCCTTACGCCTACAGACGGCCCCTTACGACCTACAGACGGCCCCTTACGACCTACAGACGGCCCTTACGACCTACAGACGGTCCCTTACGACCTACAGACGGCCCCTTACGACCTACAGACGGCCCCTTACGACCTACAGACGGCCCCTTACGACCTACAGACGGTCCCTTACGCCTACAGACGGCCCCTTACGACCTACAGACGGTCCCTTACGACCTACAGACGGCCCCTTACGACCTACAGACGGTCCCTTACGCCTACAGACGGCCCCTTACGACCTACAGACGGTCCCTTACGCCTACAGACGGCCCCTTACGACCTACAGACGGTCCCTTACGCCTACAGACGGGTGGTCACGACCTACAGACGGGTGGTCACGACCTACAGAGGTGCCCCGCGCATAGTGACCCATGCGCGGGGCTCGTCACTACCCATTGACCCCTGGGACGGAAATATGTTTCATATCTACGAGTTTTCAGACGTGTAACTTTCTAAGCTGTTGGTCAAACTTTCCAAGGTATTTGTCTGAGTAATGAAAATGTAGTAATGTACCACATTTTACTTTCAAACTTTCTCATCATTCTCATTATCTCCTGCATTTTGCGCTCTTCACATTGCTCTTTATTACCTCAGTTATCTTTGATTTCACTCTTCTGTTCTTCTGTTGACCCCTTCTTTTCACAATCTTTTTATCTTTAAATTTGAACTCTCTCTTCACAATCTATCTTTCTCTCCGTCTAACCTCTCTCTCTCTCTCTCTCTCTCTCTCTTCTCTGCGTTCTACATACTTTCCCCCCTTAATATTTCTCTTCTGCATCCTGTAGACTATTCCCTGGGCTTTCTCTTCTACTCTTTGTACTATCCCCTGGTCGTTCTGTTCACCCTGTAAACAATTCTCAGGTCTCTTAGGTTTTCTTCTAATGCCTTTCTTTCTTTCTTTGCTGACTTGGGGCTTATTTCTTATTCTCTTTCCGGCTTAATCTTTTTTTTTTGCCATTTTATTTATCATTCTAGTTTCCTTTCCGTGTTCTTTCATTCTTTCCCACAGGCATCACCGATGTTTCTTTCCTGTTTCTTTTCTGTTTCGTCTACGCTTCATTCTCCTTTCTTCCCTCCATTTTCCAGGCATATTTCCTGCCTGTCTCACTCCCTATCATTATCCACACTCCCCTGGGGAGATTCCTTCGTCCGGCCATTATCGCTATACATCATCCTTTCCCTTCTATCTACTACCACCCTTTAACCCGACCCTCTCTCGCGCGACCCGACCCCTTCCCTTACTCCCCTTCCATATGTCCAGCGACCCACTCCCCTTCCATATGTCCAACGACCCACTCCCCTTCCATATGTCCAACGACCCACTCCCCTTCCATATGTCCAACGACCCACTCCCCTTCCATATGTCCAACGACCCACTCCCCTTCCATATGTCCAACGACCCACTCCCCTTCCATATGTCCAACGACCCACTCCCTTTCCCATTCTGCTCTGACTCTCTTACCTTAAGTTGCCAACTCTTGATCTCTTCTTCCCTTTATCTTTCCCATTTCCTCATCCCCTATCTTCCCCACAGCCCTTCTTCTTCTCCTCTTCAAGCCTCTCATCTACTGACCCTCTTCTCTAGACCCCCCTTCTCCCCAGCCTCTTTTTTTATGTATCTCTGCTTCCTAACACCTCTCAGAGCCTCTACTTTCCCTCCGCTTTCTCCTAAGGGGGATTTTCTCCCCATCTTCAGGCTATCTTGAGATGATTTCGGGGCTTTTTAGTGTCCCCCGAGGCCTAGTCCTCGACCAGGCCTCCACCCCCAGGAAGCAGCCCGTGACAGCTGACTAACACCCAGGTACCTATTTTACTGCTAGGTAACAGGGGGATAGGGTGAAAGAAACTCTGCCCCGTTGTTTCTCGCCGGCGCCTGGGATCGAACCCAGGACCACAGGATCACAAGTCCACCGTGCTGTCCGCCGGGAGCATATACAAATCCCATTAATCCATTTTCTCTCTCAAATATTACCTATTCCTCTCATAAAAAATGGGATACATATCACCAATTTCATCCTAATTAGAGAGAAGATACTTTCTTCGCCTTTCTTTTTCGTTTTCTTTGTTAGAATCCACGTTTTTCATGTAGTTAGATTCGGGTTTATCACCTGTTATCTGTTCCCTATGCTTTTATCGAACCTGGGATGCTCGAGTCGTCTTCGTTATCGGAGATGAATACAACTCATCCCTCAATGATCATCGAAGGATCAATTCACCTTTATGATCACAATACTTCTAATCCCTCCTAGTTGGGACACAGCACTGGGGATGGGAGAGAAATTGCACACAGAAATCACAATAGCTTGATGCATCAATGAACAAATCCACAAGAGCCCCTGGTTTGTGTCTCGGAGAGGCTGCAGGGTCCAAATAAGTTCAGTAGAACTTCTGGTTTCAACTCTTTTTTCCATGTCGTAGCTCAGTCGATTAAGGCAGCGTCTGGGATGCTCTCGGACGTAGGTTCGAATCCTCTTCACTGCCCTTGTGGATTTGTTCGGGGAGAAGTTGGCCGCCCTCATGAGGGCTTGGCGGCCCTCACAAGAGCTTGGCGGCTTTCATGAGAGCTCGGTGGCCCTCATGAGAGCTTGACGGCCCTCATGAGAGCTTGGCGGCCCTCACAAGAGTTTGGCGGCTTTCATGAGAGCTTGGCGGCCCTCTCAAGAGCTTGGCGGCCCTCACAAGAGCTTGGCGGCTTTCATGAGAGCTTGGCGGCCCTCATGAGAGCTTGACGGCCCTCACGAGAGCTTGACGGCCCTCATAAGAGCTTGGGGGCTCTCATGAGAGCTTGACGGCCCTCACAAGAGCTTGGGGGCTCTCATAAGAGCTTGACAGCCCTCACGAGAGCTTGGCGGCCCTCACAAGAGCTTGACGGCCCTCACAAGAGCTTGGGGGCTCTCATAAGAGCTTGACGGCCCTCACAAGAGCTTGGCGGCCCTCACAAGAGCTTGGCGGCTTTCATGAGAGCTTGGCGGCCCTCATGAGAGCTTGACGGCCCTCATGAGAGCTTGGCGGCCCTCACAAGAGCATGGCGGCCCTCACAAGAGCTTGGCGGCTTTCATGAGAGCTTGGCGGCCCTCACAAGAGCTTGGCGGCCCTCACAAGAGCTTGGCGGCTTTCATGAGAGCTTGGCGGCCCTCATGAGAGCTTGACGACCCTCATGAGAGCTTGACGGCCCTCACGAGAGCTTGACGGCCTTCATAAGAGCTTGGGGGCTCTCATGAGAGCTTGACGGCCCTCACAAGAGCTTGGGGGCTCTCATAAGAGCTTGACAGCCCTCACGAGAGCTTGGCGGCCCTCATAAGAGCTTGACAGCCCTCACGAGAGCTTGGCAGCCCTCACGAGAGCTTGACAGCCCTCACGAGAGCTTGACAGCCCTCACGAGAGCTTGACAGCCCTCACGAGAGTTTGGCGGCCCTCACGAGAGCTTGACAGCCCTCACGAGAGCTTGGCAGCCCTCACGAGAGCTTGACAGCCCTCACGAGAGCTTGACAGCCCTCACGAGAGCTTGGCAGCCCTCACGAGAGCTTGACAGCCCTCACGAGAGCTTGGCAGCCCTCACGAGAGCTTGACAGCCCTCACGAGAGCTTGGCTTAAATGGAACTCTTAAACCTGATCAGGAAGTGGCTGTCTCACATGAATCAAGAGTCACCATAAACAGAGTTAAATCTGAGTTTTGGAGA